GCGCAATGCAAGAGAATGTAGTATATAAGACCTCTCTCATCCTCAAGCCGCATCACATCTCGCCATGAAGGTCCTGGTGAGTTGCCTCCTCCATAGGCACCGCTGAATTTTTACTTCGTTGATAGTCCTAAGTGAACCACTGCTATTGGACAAGTTGTGAACTGTGAAGTGACTTAAATGAACCATAGACGTTTAGTTGAACACAAGAATAACTGATTGAATTACCAATAATTGCAATATTAATTTTGCAGTCGGGTAGCCGATGCCTTAGCTTTTATACCCATAGCCTGTCTTCATTTAAAAAAATATATATATATATGAACACTATTTTCTCAGGTTCTGTTTTTGGCATCAGTGGCAGCAGCTACAGCTGCCCCGCAGGGTTACAGCCTGCCAACGCCTTCTGGTTCGTCCTTTGGCTCGTCTTTCGGCTCGTCCGGTGGACAGTCCTTTGGCTCGTCTTTCGGCTCGTCCGGTGGACAGTCCTTTGGCTCGTCTTTCGGCTCGTCCTTTGGCTCACTTGGCTCGTCCTTTGGCTCGTCTTCTGGCTCGTCCGTCGGACCATCCGTTGGTCCGTCCTCAGGGGGATGCAGTCCCGGGCAAGTGCGACATGTGGACGGTAGATGCGTGACTCCGAGAGAAAACAGAAGAGTGTTCTTGTATGAAGTTCCTTCGAACGTGGTGTTCAACAGCGCTCCAGTCAACGTCCCCGAGCCAACAGTGGAGACCAACATCGTGCTCATCCGAACGCCCGAAGGATTACAAGGGACCTGATCCCGTGGTCGTGCCTCCTCCGAGACAGCAGCACGTGGTGTACGTGCTCAACAAGCAGTCTGAACACGACCAGAGGGTGATCGAGGTGACAGCACCACCGCCATCTGATCCTGAAGTTTACTTTGTGAACTACGCTGAAGGCGAGAACCCAACTCTTCCTAGCGGAGTGGATCTACAGAGTGCTCTGGGCGCTGCTACTCAAGGCGGCGGTCAGGTGATCGGCGACAGCGGCTCTGGTGTCGGGGGAGTCGTAGGCGGTGGTATTAGTGGCGGTATCGGAGGTGGCAGCGGCGGAAGCATCAGTTTGGGAGGAGACGGAGGATTCGGAGGCAGCAGTGGCTTCAGCAGCTTCGGAGGAAGCAGTGGATTTGGAGGCAGTGGCAGTTTTGGATCCGGAAGTGGATTCGGTGGTTCGGGAGGCGGCAGCATCAGTGGAAGCTACACTCCACCAACACAGCCCTCAAACCTGTACACTTCACCATAAAATCCATGAAGTGAACAGCCAAGCGCTTTACTTCATAATGAATATAGCGATTAATGTTAGGCCTAACTTATGTATGTACACATTTTTGCCAAATAAAACTATAATGACAAAATGTTATACTCTAACAATTCCTTCCAAAGCTAATCTACAACTCACGTAACAGAATAAGCACAAATACGATTTTACACATGCATGCACACATGCGCGCACACTCACACACAGGCACATACCTCTCGTCCTCAAGATCTACCCGTAGATCATATTTGTACATTAGCCAGTTATAAATTATTTTTGTTATGTCCGAAACACTCGGGTGTTCAACAAGATTTTCCTCAATCAACTCTTTTAAAACAGTTAACATAATGAATTCTATACGCATCAATGACGAATTCCTCAGGTAATAGTTGCTCTGTATCATCATTAACATTTACTATTCAAATATTATAACAATGCAATTGATCTCGGACCAAATACAAGAACAATTAATGTGCATCAAAAAACTTATATAGGTATTTAATATATATTATATATATATTGAGCACTACTTTGATATCTTACCTTCCTCTACAGACATTTGCTGATTCAAGAGAGTGCTTTGAAGAACCTTTTGTACTTCGCTCGATATCATTTATTTTATTTCGTCCTCTTAGAATACGGGACATCGCTCTGATGTTACGTGTAAACATTGCTGGTGTGTAAAATATATATGGGCACCTATTTCTCTCTTTACAACACCAACTCTTAGTTCGACATTTGAATATCAGGGATAGTCATTTATTACAAGAAATTTATATAATTTAGAATCACGTAGAGAGATGTGTCGATGAAAGATTAATGCGTTACACCAACAAAGGTAAAAATAGATTGATGAAGAAATTGTACTGTTCCTCTGATTAGCAAGGATTGGATTTCAAAATAAGGCACATTTTGATTCAGTATGAAGTAAAACCTGTTTTAATTTGTATGAATTTTCATCATTCATATATACATGCAAACAAATTTATGTATCCTTATTTTTATCATTTTAGCTATATTTATACATATCGTATATGCACACATACTATATACATACATATTTACATAGATGTATATATATATGTATATATAAATATATATGTACATATGTGTGTGCGTGTGCGTGTGTACACATACATACATATATGTGCATATATATATTATATTATATATATATATATTGCATGTATGCATTTACAATATGTATGTATGCGCGCGAGTGTGTGTGTATGTGGCTGCATGCATACATAAACCCATTGTACGCCCTCACACACATATGTTCACACAGATGCATATATATGTATGTATGTATATATATGTGTGTGTGTGCACATAAACACGCACACTCGCAGACACGCACACACACACTCACACAAACATACACATAAATATACACACACGCACACACACACATATGCATACGAATATATATATATATACATATACATATATGGACTTACAGAAATACGCACATACACATATAAATATATGTATACATATATATATATAATTACACACACAAACAAATATATATCTATATCTATATCTATCTATATATATATATGTATGTACATATACTTACAAACATATTTATGTGTGTTGGAGTATGCACATATACATACATACATACATATACATACACAAACACACATATATGTGTATTTATATGTTCTCTTTCTCCCTCTCTCTGTCACTATGTGACTACATATATTTATGTGCGCATATATACATAAATAGATATGTATTTCTGTATATATGTATGTGTCTGTATATATGAACCCATATATAAATATATCCATGTGTATATATATATATATATTTATATATATATACATATATATATATATATATATATATATATATATATATATATATATATATATGCATGTGTATATATGCATACACACTCACACATATACATATATATATATATATATATATATATATATATATATATTCATATATATATATATATTATTCATATATATCTATATACACATACACACACGCATTCACACACATTTATATATATACATACTAACACACACACACATATATACATGCATACATATATACATATATATATATATACATATGTATATATGTATATATAAGTATTTATGTATGTATGCATACATATATTGCATATAAGCACACATACTCACACACACATATATATACATATGTATACATATATACATACACATACGCACACACACACACACATATATATATACCACTGCATATATGTATACATATATGTATAATATATACATATTCTGCATGTATTCTTTGCGTGTGTGTTTGTGCAAGTGTGAATTTGTGTGCGTGTGTGTCTCTGCCTACGTATGTCACTCTCCTGAAACTCGTGTAAATCCAGAGATGATAATGAAAATCTTGTAAGTGTAAACATCGTGTATCAGGATCAGCGTAGTCACGATGGGGCTATTCATTACCAATGGTCAGCAAGAGCTCGGGAAAAGAATTGTCTGAGCCCATGTGTGTGGGATACACTGATAAAAAAAAGAAAAGAACAGGTGGTGGAAAGTATGAGAAAGGACCTTGCACATACCTTGGCACGCTGGGGAAGGTACTGCCACTCTGCCAGCGATCGTAGTATATAAGGGTGCTCGTGTCCTCCGGAATCATCACAGCTCACCATGAACACCCTGGTGAGTTGGACCTCCTCAATGGATCAACGTTGTTCGAACAAAATGTGAAGTGAAGATATATTACTGATGATTTATTGTGTGAAGAGCAATACGACTGCATAATCAACATTGGTTACACACACAAACACACACATACAGCCATTACTACACGCACAGTGTGCATTTATATATCTTTCTTATTTATCTATCTACACATAAATATATGTATATATACATATATATGTATATATACAAACATATATGTATGCACACACACACATATATATGTAAATATATATATATATATATGCACACATGTATGAGATCCTGTGTATTCATAAACGTACACGTATGCATGTGATGAATATATATACACATATGTGACATTCTTACAGGTTCTGTTATTGGCGTCAGCGGCAGCAGCTACAGCTGCCCCGCAGGGTTACAGCCTGCCAACGCCTTCTGGTTCGTCCTTTGGCTCGTCCTTTGGCTCGTCCTTTGGCTCGTCCTTTGGCTCGTCCGGTGGACAGTCCTTTGGCTCGTCCTTTGGCTCGTCCGGTGGACAGTCCTTTGGCTCGTCCTTTGGCTCGTCTTCTGGCTCGTCCGTCGGACCATCCGTTGGCCCGTCCTCAGGGGGATGCAGTCCCGGGCAAGTGCGACATGTGGACGGTAGATGCGTGACTCCGAGAGAAAACAGAAGAGTGTTCTTGTATGAAGTTCCTTCGAACGTGGTGTTCAACAGCGCTCCAGTCAACGTCCCCGAGCCAACAGTGGAGACCAACATCGTGCTCATCCGAACGCCCGAAGGATTACAGGGACCTGATCCCGTGGTCGTGCCTCCTCCGAGACAGCAGCACGTGGTGTACGTGCTCAACAAGCAGTCTGAACACGACCAGAGGGTGATCGAGGTGACAGCACCACCGCCATCTGATCCTGAAGTTTACTTTGTGAACTACGCTGAAGGCGAGAACCCAACTCTTCCTAGCGGAGTGGATCTACAGAGTGCTCTGGGCGCTGCTACTCAAGGCGGCGGTCAGGTGATCGGCGACAGCGGCTCTGGTGTCGGGGGAGTCGTA